GGGGGGTCGACTTCTCCCCCCGGACCCCCCAGCTAGGCGCGTCGTCCCCTGGACCCTTGGCTCGCTGACCGGGTAGCGAGACCCCCGTGCTGGCTTATTCGTAGCGTGACTAGACTGATGGGCTGACATAAGAACTCCATGGATTCAATGCATCTCAACAATGAGTATTGAAGATCATCCATGGGATGGCTATCATTGAGTTTCTGCAAAAGATCTTAACATGGAGTTTTCAGAAGAAAATTTCCTTGTGCATGTATTTAGCTTGTTCTTGCATGTGCGGCGGAGACTGCTGAGTTCGCCTGTGCTTCTGACCACGGACATCATTATTGAAGAAAAAGCTATAGGTCTGTGGTAGACAAATTAAATAGGATTTAGGCAATAAACAAGATATAGTAGTCAATAACAAGCAACAACAAAGGAACACCCTTAATTATGCTGAATATCTAGAATCCGTTGTATCTAAAACTTGGTGGTTTGTTGCAGCATCGCAGTTGCAAAGTGCTTGCTTCTTATAGATTTATGATTCAAAATAATCTAAATGGATATATTCACTTATATTTGAAGTCACAAAAGACAAATTCACAATGCAGATTTGTGATTCCCACTATTTTTTTACTTTGTTTAAGTACAAAGCATACAGACGTTTTTGCCTGGAAGCTACATAGTTACACAGTTTTAACACTTTTAACTACCTCTACGTGTCTTTGTTATGTGCATCCTTGTGTATAGTCAGCAGCCTTTTTAGGATATTCCATATGCTCGTCTCTTTTTAGGATATTTCATTGGCTTATATATGTGATATACTTATCAATGTTTCATTGTATTATCTAATTCAGTTTTATGCCGTGTGCAGGACAGTTCTTAAAATGATCACGTTGCATGTCAAATTTTTTTAATAAGATGTTATAGCTTGAATGCTTGTCATTAAACTCATTGAACTACAATACTAGGATGAAATATTAATCTAGCACTCCAGATTCTGTTCTAAATGTTACTGCAAATTTTGGCCTTCGATGTTTCTGGTCAGGTTGATGATGTTTTAGAGACCAAACTGGATAGAAAGTATCGACTTGTTACTGACAAAGGCACACTGGATGCTATTGGGTTGCATCCAGATGGCCCCCTTAAAAGGTAAGTTATACATAGACGCTCTGTTGCTGCAAGTATTTGCTGTTTATTTATTTATTTATTTTTGTGAATATATGATGGTGGATTTCCTCCTTGTCTTCATTCAAAAGTGGGGCTAACATTTACTTATTTTTATATTATTTTAACTAGAAGCTATGAATTTAGAATTTTCATTTAAAAACCTTTAGGTAGCAGTCTGTTCAACATTTTTTAGACGAAGCAATGGTTTGGTCGAGACAAATAATCAACACTTTAAGCTATTGTCAAATTGTTCGGCCAGTATTTGTCAATTTTCAAGATGATGAGTGTCGGTTGTTGCTCCTTCTTAATGTCTGCATTCCTTAAACTATGTCGGAACTAGCATAATATCTTCATTTATTTGGACCAAATTTTCAGGATGATGTACTGGGATTCTGTAATGAACTTGGTTGCTCCTGGGGGTATTCTGGTAAGTGTTAGTTTATCTTACACGGTTTAGTTACTGAAAAATATTGGTTTGCTTTCTTCAGCGAATTTTCTTTCATTACTGATTCTGAGGGGTTTCTCTAGGTAATTACATCATGTAACAACACAAAAGATGAGTTGATTCAAGAGGTAGATAGTTTTAACCAGAGGAATATCGATTCACAAAACTTGGAAAGAGAGGGAGGCAGCGAGCAGTCGGTATTCAAATACATTGATCACATCCGTACATATCCAACCATCATGTTTGGGGGAGCGGAAGGTTCTCGTGTGTGCACTGTTGCTTTTCTTCGAAACTGAAATTAGGATGATTAACGAATAAAACTAGGGTGATATTTGACTTAAAACTGTTGTGTTACTCAGTACTCTTTTCAAAGGGTTTTTTTTTTTGTAATGTTTATTTATGTTTGTAGTTTGGGAGAACGCTTTTAAGGTTTATATCTTAATACAGATATTTGTAGTTTGGTCTTCTCTGCTTTTTCAAAGTTCTTGACCTCATAGATTGACATTGGTGGACAAGAATATCAAAGCAACTTTATAAATTGTACTCAACTGATTTAATCTCTCCCCTAACAATTTGGAAATTTGGATAGCATGCAACATGCGATGTAGCATTGCCTTCTCAAAGAAATTTAATGGAACCAAATGAAAGGCCTAAACTGATTGATTCTCTCCCTAACAATTTCTGATTCGGAAGTGATTAATTTTGACGGCAGGCAATTGCCTTTGCAAGAAATATAATGAACTCGGATGGAATCCCTAGACTCGACAAGCAAGCGAGATTGGACGCAGCAAGCCTCTGGCCAAATGAACTCTTGAGTTTCCATCTGCTATAGATTTTTGTTGTGTAGGATGTCTTGTCAAGGGAATCCATTCCTCTATACTTAAAAAAGAAGGATCCAAAGATTTTTGTTCATTCTGTGGTAAATACTATAGTAAATTACTATGTCATAATTTACTGTTTATACTACTAACAGTAATTTACTATATTATAAACAGTGTCCTTTAAAATATAGAGCGGTAGACATGATTTCTAATTTTAAACATACAATAATCAAATTAATGTATTAAACACTATAGGGAAATATGTTCAAAATGCAATATTTAAAAAAACAATGGGTCGTGCTTTGCAATGGGTACACACTGGTACCCATGAATTTCAATATAAACTTCTGGATGTGGCGAAAGAAACAGAGAAAATATACCTTGTCCATAAACGAGGACAGGAAAACGTAGAAGTAGATAACGCGAAGATGCACACAGATATAAAAGCTTCGAATCAAATTTTTTTTTTAATAACAACCTCAACTCATTATTAAGAAGAGAAAAAATTGAGACTAAACAGTACTTATATACCATATATTCACACTACTTTAGCACTTACATAACCTAAGTTACAATTCGTTGAAATTATATATCCAAACTTGTTTAAATTTTGTATGTTGTTACCTTCTCCCATGTGTTAGTCACATGTCAAATTTTAATGGCGTTTACCCTCATTAATTATAGTACTTACTTCTTTATCATGTTTTTTCTCTTTTCCCCCCCTTCTTTATCATGTTTTTTCTCTTTTTCCGAAGGCGATAACTTGGGTAGGGGCTTAAATTGTGTTTTACCAAAAGCGTGTACAAGATTGGACTAGCTTTTTTAGGTTAAAAAAAGAGGCCCTTATTTAAGATATTTTGAATTATATCCACCTTAGTTCAATCCTAACCTAGTTAAAGCCTTAATCAGATTAGTGAGAAGTTGCCAAACACATCCTATCTGTCATTTCGCCTTCGGAACAAGAATTTCTCTCTGTTTGTACATCCAAAAGCAGGAACTTCTCATGGTCTGAGCATATCACCAATAGTCAGAGTTGGACGGTATACCGCCTTTGAAAGTTGAATTCCCTTTTCATCTGACTCAAACTCTTAGAAATTGAATTCCGCTTTGACACAGCATCCTCTCTTCCTCCTCCTCATACGAGGCACAGCTATTTAAAGATTTTTCTATAGATTTGTACAGTTGACCTCTTTTTTGTTACTTCTGTTAGACATTTATATAAAAAAATCCCTAGTAAACACAATTGAATAATGCAATAGAAAATAAAATTCTGCTAGGAGGGATATCCATAATTTACTAATACAAGGAAGAGAGTTTTTTCCAGCAGCCGAAAAATCAGAGGGATGAGAGGGCCTCCGTTATTATGTCTTTTGACTGTTTATCCAGCGTGGTCTCCGTAGAGCCTAGACAAAGAGCCGTTCTAATTAGGGGTGCTAAACCGTATCCGTATCCGAGGAAATATCCGTAACCGTATCCGTTAGGATACGGATATGTTTACTCAAATCTATAACCGATAGGGTATGGTCACGGATGTGGGTTTTGTAGTGAAATATCCATATCCGTATCCGAAATATCCGAATACATATTAGTCATACTTTTACGATAGTTTCTATCTACTTATATCCACGTGTATATCCGTAACCGTATCCGATTTTAACGAATATGGTTATAAATTTTTCTTACCGAGATATATCTGTATCCAAAATGAGTAAGCGGATATGAATCCGAGCAGTATCCGGACAAATACACCCCTGGTTCCAATCTTTGAAAAACCATGACCATACCAAAAAATAAGAAAACGTAATTATCACTCAACGTGTCTTTCTTTGGCCGCAGAAATAAAACACCAACTTGACCCCCTGAGCTTATCTAAAGGTACCGCCTACATTTTCATCATGCCGTCGCGTCACCGAATCATACACGCAAGTAAAATGCAGATAACAAGACCGCAACAGTAGTAATGAAGGCAAAGCGCTTCTAGCAATATAAGATATAAGAACAGACTTCATTATTTTAAGTACCATTACATGAGATAACAAGACCGCAACAGTTTTCCATAACAATCTCCAAACCACAGAAGAGACTAGTAAAACAAATAAGCATCGACCTCGACTGACGAAGCAAACACAATACCGACTCGACTGACGAAGCAAAACACAAACCGACTCGACTCAAAACGCAAAAACAAACCTGACTCGACTCACAAAGCAAGCAAGCAAGCGACATTTAACTGCAGCATACTACTAGGCGCCAGCAGCTGGAAACTGTAATCTTCACTCCTCTTCAGATTCAGACTCCGCATTCTGGCTGTCTCCTCCCGAGCCCTCTTCATACCACTGAACTATAACCTCTTCCTCCAGCAGATCAGCATCATACAGAACCTTGAGAGCAATCGCAACCTCCTTCACCGCATCTCCACTTGCCTTCCCACAGAAAGACTCCACAGCTCGTAGTAGAAGCATCTGGGACCCTTCATCCTGAACAGCAGCCGACAGGTAATTCTTCTTCTTGCCCACTTCCTTTGCAAAGCCTTTCCCAAGGCCTCCAAAAAGAGCTTCGAATAGCGCTGACATAATCTCTTGTGGGGTTCCTGCTGCAGAGCCGAGGAAAGACTGGAGCTGGCTTGGCGTCGAACTTTTACTCAGTCTACTCTTGATCTCCGAAACAAGGGTTTCGTAGCTGTTTTGCTCAGGAGTGGGTTTTGCCCCTGCTGCTGCCTTGTTTCCATTTTCCTTTGGTGCGGTCTTCTTCTCCTTCTCTGCTTCTGTAGTTGAGAGCATCACCATCTCAGCAGTCACGGCACTGAGCTGCTCTTGAATGCGCTGGCGAGCAGCCTCCAATGAGGTGTCAGTCTGCCACTGGACATCGTCATCATCGTCATCGTCATCTGCCACATTACGATCTTCATTCTGGCTGCCAGCAGGTGAGTTAGAGTGATCCTCATCAGAACTACCATTGGCTTTCTTAGAACTACCGTTGGCTTTCTTCTTCCCAGTAGCAGCCTTAGAAGAAGCGTCCTTGGACAAAGCACCCGTCTTCTTTCTAGAATCTTTCTTCAGCTTCTTCATTTCTTCGTCAGCAGCCTCCCCTTCCTTAAGACGCTCCTTCTCTGCTCTCCTCATTGCTTTCTTGTCCTTGGACCCCTTCTTCTGCTCCGGTGGATTCTTCAATATGAAAGTTGTCAGCTTGTCCCTCATATCAACATCAGAAGTAAAACCACAGGCAGCACATTTCATGGTGATCATCTCAGTCTTGGTAATGATGATCTCAGTTTCCGGGTTTCCGCACCCGTAACACTGCACATATTTCTTGATGAAGTTCTCGAGAAGCCCAGCCAGCTTGGCAGTGTCGTGAGCTCCATTAACAAGGGAAGTCCCAGTCTTCTCATCGAACTTGGATTGTGCACCAAGCTCGCATCCGAAATACTTAGTGGTGTAAGAAGCTGGTCTAGCCAAAGCTTTTGCAATCTCCACCATGTTCACAATGTTCGTCTTGATGCCATTGCCACGGCCTTCGATTTTAGTAATCATTTTGGGCATCTTATACCTATAGAAGGCATCATCGCTGTTGGCAGCACCAATGTTCTGTAAAGCCATCTTGCTCAAGTGTTGGGAGAGGATACGACGTAATCAGAAGCAAGATGCAGCAGATTCAAGAGTGAAGTACTCTTTTGCGAACTTGTTATCGGCGTGGGCAGGTTGCATAAACCAGCAACCAGAAGCACAATGCTGAAGTGGCCTGTGATGCATAAAACTCTCAAAGGAGAGTCTGTATCTTATCCTTGAAGTAGGAGAATATTCTCCAAGTAATCCAATTGTTCCCAAGTAGAGAGAATCTCCGGCAGACATAAAAGAAGCTTCAATCTTCACACTCTCCACTTTAGCAGTGTGCAACAACTAAGAGTAGAGTTGCCACCACTTTCTAAGAAGGAAAAAAGAGGGCTTATTATAACAAAAAAAAGGAAGTGGGAAAGACTTGATACAAGTACTATAGGCATCAGATACTGAAAATGAAATATTCAGCCAAGTAAACAGCCACATTAACCATATATGTATGTGTGCTTATGTACCATAAATCTTACGCATGCTTAAAACCCACAATGTGCAACATAGAACAAATCCAGTTCTGGAACATCATTATAATATTGCATCGAACTTATGTTGCATGGGTATGGGTACGAGACAGAAATTCTGTGAAAAACTAGGTACAAGGACACAGCTGATATCACACACACATAAATTAATAATTATGCTGTAATTAGATCGAGGGTAGGGTTACAATACACATAGGGTGTAACTAGATTAGTTATACACCCTATCATCACCGTTGGATTCATAGATTGATCAAGACTAAATCACTCAAATATTTGGTGAGGCCCACATAAGATTTGCCTCCTTTTTTTATTTCTCATATAAGATTTATTTCCTTGATTTTGTTCCCTTTTGTTTCTTAATTAAATTTATTTGTTTTACATACTAGTATTTCCATACGCTAATGAAATACTTAAGAGCACCTCATTTTGTTGTCATCTTACAATATTATTCGAGCGAAGACCTTTCCCAGAAGTTGTACGTGACTTGAAATTCTTAGAAGTTATAACAAGTTCAAAGAACTGATGGTTTCTGATACTTCCAAACCAATTAACGAGGTTATTTGACTTCAATCGAGGTTTTCTGAAATTAAAACGAAAAAAAACATCTGGAGGAAATAAATCTTACGTGGTCGGATGGTCCTCGACCAATATTTCAAGTGATTTAATCTAGATCAATCTGTGAATCCAACGGTGATTATAGGTGTGTAACTAATCTAGTCAAGACTAGAAGATGATTCGTACTCACGCATCGCTTTGATTCAATACCTCAAAAATAATAGATTCAAAATCGCGAATAAATTTTTCCCGAAACACCACTCAATGAAAACCCCCAAATTAAATTCTCATTTTAGATATCAGAGAAACATTGCAAAAAAACAAATTAACTTGTACCTTAACCATCAAAAACAACAATAGATCTCAATATTATTCGTTTATAACAAATTAGATCTTAAATCAGAAACGCCTAAAAACCCCTAAGTCATAAAAACTCACTATTTTTCTATTCAGAATCTTTTCTAATGCTGGGGAACTGAAACGAAAGAGATCGGAGATCGGAGAAGGGTGAGATTCTTACCTTAGATCGAAAAAAAGAGATCGAAAACGAAAGAGATCGCCGCCTTCAGAAGGAAACCCTAACCCTAGCTTCGGCCTGCTGGAAGAAATTGCGAAGGAGCTTCGGGGCTGAGATGAGGTATTTATAGGGCAGAGGGATCGCCCTCTCTTGCAAGGATTAGGGCACCGCCTTTGATTTCTTCTCCTGAGTGGGCCCCTGCAGTTTCCTCACATTTACACTTAAAACCTTCTTTTACGTTTTTTTTCAGTTTTTTATTAGTTTTTTTCACCCTATTTATTGGTTTTAATGTGGTGGGATGTTAGATAATGTGAAGATATTATTGGTTGGCGCAGCGAATTGGAGCTGGACTTCTCTATTTATTTGATTAGTCTTGTCGTTTATTAATAGGCACACGTTATTCAAGGGTCCCTATTATTAGAAGAGCGAAACTAATACTAATGTTGCATTAGTAGTGAACATAATATGGTGTTATTTGTTTGGGTCTTTGGGGTTAGAATTTGAATTTATATTTAGGTTATTGTAGGACTAGGATTCGGATTTAAATTTAATTTGTTATTAGTTTAGGATTAGAATTCGAATTTGAATTTAACGTATTATTAGTTTAGAACTAGGACTTGGATTTCAATTTAATATTTTATTGGTTGTCTAGGATTATTGTTAGCACTAGGATTTCAAAATCCACGCTCCGTTCCAACTTTATAGTTTTTGGTGAGAATTTTCTAAGAGAAAATCTAAGTTAAAATTGGTGTGGTGTGATTAGGGGTGGAAATGAACCAAATAATTAATAAATGGTTCGATAATTGTTCGAATAACTATTCGGTCATATTCGATTCGATAGTTCATTTATCACTAAACAAATATTTTTTAGTATTCGAGTTTATTAACGAATAGAATTTAACCAGATATATATTCGATTCGTTTGTCTATTAAATATTCGTTTAAAATTTGATCACAGCTTATTATTTGTATTATTGCACATATGATGTCATATTTTTAACCCACTTACCATTTCTACTTAAATTTTATATATAAATTTTAAGACTTAAATAATCTTAAATCTGTTTTCTAATTAAAATTTTGATTTAAATATATATACATCATATATTATAAAGAAATAATTTTTATTTATAAATTTTAATACTATTTGAAAATTAAACTCTTTAGCGAAATAAATATACTTTGATATTCGATAAGTATTCGTGAATATTCATGAATATTTATCAAATACCAAGTATTCGAGTTCGAATTCAAAAAACTAGATATATGAATAATAGAGTTCGCATTTGAATTCGATAATTTTTAACAAATACAAATATGAACACCTTAGTATTCGATTCGATTCGATCATTTACCACCCCTAGGTGTGATCCTACTCCGTGGATTTTCTCTCTCCTCTTCTCTTTACTTATTTAAACATTTAATGTATTCCAAATTAAATACATTTAATTATAATATTCTATATTTCTAAATCATTTATATATTGACATTAATGTACTTAAGTTTAAAATATTCAAAATCAACTTCTATAATTTGATTTAATTCGTTTAAAATGTAATTTATTTAATACTATTTAATTACATTATATATTTTATATTTAACACTAAATTAGATATATTTATTAGTTAAAATTTATTAGATATATATTTTTTAAATATTTAATATTAATATAGCACACAGATAGATCTCGGCATTTTTTATTTTAATAATTTCGGATATGAAATATATAAATACATAACTATTTTATATATATATTATATTATATACTATATATTATATATATATATTATAATATATATATATAATATATAATTATATATATATATATATATATATATATATTATATATATTATATATATATATATATATATATAATATAATTAATATATATATATATATATATATATATATATATATATATATATAGTATATATATATTCATATACTAATGTATATATATATATAAATGCTTTAATAAATTAACAACATATAGTTAATATTAAATCATTCAATCTATTTGAGTATCAATAATGTTTGATATAAAATTTTTTAAATATATTTTATATTTACATATTTAAATATACAAATTAGTTTTTATATGATCGAACACTAGTAATTTTCTTTCGTATACTGGAACACAAGTTATTTTCATTTATATGTGTTATGGTAATTTACCATCCAAAGATAGAGATGTCGGAAGAATGTCTGCATAAGCCCAAGAGAGTTATGGCTCAAACCAACTTAGAGGCTCAAAAGCCCAGCCAAGGTCAAGTCACTCGACCAGAGGAGCAGACAAGCCATATTTCGATCATTCGGTCAAGGGTCATCATGATCGACTCGAAGTACGGGATCAGTCGTCCCATCGCAATTAAGACGACTCCTCGAGCAGACGACTCGACCATACACTCGACCCAAAGCTCACTCGACTATCGGGTCGTCGAATCATAATAATGGCTCGCAGATCAACCCACCTCGACTAAAGGGATAAGAGCTGAACAAGTTCACTTCAGATGTCAATCGACACAACAGTATTGAGTAGTCACATCAAGATCTCCATTTTAACAAACCTCGTGCCCAAGCCGTTTATTCTGCTTACAAGTCATTTCCTAGAAGATTGTCATGATGCTTTCCTGTGCACGAATGACTTCTCCTCCAATCGCCAGCCGCCGCTTGGAGAGAGAGAGGGACGACCAAGTAGCCGACCTATCCTACGCCCTACCTCTTCTATCAAATCTAGGATACTAAAAAGATATTTCTTTCCTGTACTTGAATGACCTCCCTTCTAATCGCCAGCCGACATCTGGAAGGAGAAGGATGACTCAGCAGCTTGACTGCTCACCCCTCAGTCGCCTCCTATGCATAGTCAAAGCCAAGGGTCAACCTCTCTAAGGCAAGGGACTATAAAAGGAGGGATGAAAGGTAAAGAGAGGGGTAAGTGATAATTGCTTGGCTACTTCTTCTTCATAAAAACAAGGAACCTACCTTGGTTAAAAGAGAAAGAAAACTAGTAAACTCTCAAAAGAGTACGCTCCAAGGACCTCAATGGCCCAAGGACCTTCCCCCAAATCCCACTCAAGCTGCATAACTGACTTGACCGTCGGAGGTACAATAGGGGAAACTAGCCCCGTACTCCTGCGATTCTTGCATGTGCAGGTTATCAGCCCACCCCGCACGCTCAGAATCGGGCATAAAGTAGGAGGAGGAGTCGGCCCCAACATTCATCCTCTCCCTTCTCCTCAGCGCCGTCAGGATCGAAACTGCATCCTACGGTGGATAACCCCCATCGACTGTTTGTTCACGAATATCAACAGTTTGGCGCCCACCGTGGGGCCTACTTTTTTCTCTGAGAAGAAATACCCAATTCTAAGTCGGGGCCTGATATTGTTTATTCTTGAAGAGTATTGGAATTGCACCATTCAAGCTAAATAAAGCCTAGAATCGCATCATTCAAGCTAAGGAGGATTAGCCTATGGCTATGAGGAGCCAATGTAGGTGTAGCCCTCGAGCGCTCCAATAGCTTTCTGGGGAGTATTTGTCAAGTAGAACCCCAAAAGCCCTCCTAAGAAAAGACACACCACTATGGTGCTTGTCTGGCTTAAGAATGAAGCACAAACTTCTAATTGCCACCACAGATGAAAACCCCCACCGCCTGGACAGCCAAGAGGCCTGGGGTTGGATCACAAACAGGCCCCCAAGGGTTATGATCAAATCCAGTGTCGCTCAAGCTCCCGTCAGTAATGGCTCACCCGATCAAGGAATAGCGATCAAGTCTGTGGTAGGCTCCTCGGACAATCACTACCTCCAAAGGAGAGTCCTTCCTCACCAAAAGATGGGATTGCGGGAAAAACTCAAGGGCTCGCCATCTGGTCTTCTCAGGAAGATTAACAGCTCTGGCCCCCAACCGCTATTCGAACCACCTAAAGTCAAAGTAAGAACTGGTGGTCGAAGCATGTGACTCACATCCCCCAACAAAAGAAGGCTCCTCCATTTATAGGATGGTCCGACTGTCGCTATCCCTGGAAACCTCAAAGGGAAGTCATGATCCCATCAAATTCCAGGGAACAAAGCTTTGGCGTATGGGGCTCTCACCAACAAGAAGCCCCCATCACAAAAGTTGCCTGTGTCTCCTCCTGTTGAGCACTATCCTCCAAAAGCTCAATCAGCACGACTCTAGCCATATAGCGCAACCAATGGTGGACAAGCAAGATCGGTTGAAAATCACCATGTCCACCATTGACCTGTAATGATCTCAACAAAAACTCCAAGCAGGTCCTTGGCTGATGAGATGACAAATATGTCAGCAACTCAATGACGCCCAAAGCCAAACAACTCACCCTCGGAAGGAAGAGCAACCCTCGATTCCGGGCGTTCCTCAGTTTGGCAACAAAGACAGTCAATGAAGCAACAACTTGCTCTCATCAAGGTAGGAATGTTCACATGCGAAAAGAAACAACCAAGGAAACTCCGCCTCGGTGACCCTGTCTCTGGCAAAAGCCATCTTCAAAATGCATCTGGGCAAGAAACATGAATTCGACGCGACTCGATGGAATAAATGTGAATGAGCTGTACTCTATCATGTATAAATTCCAATAATCAATGGAAATGTCAAAAATGAAAAAAAAAGACATCAAAGACCTAGTCAGCTGGGCACTCGGCTAAGTCGATAAAAGTCTTTGGTACCTCCTCAGGGTAAAACCAAGATACAATCCTTTTTGCTGATTCCCATAGTCGACTATCGGCTCCTAATATGGGTAAGCCCGAGGCGCAACGACTCCTCAGTCGGTTATGGGTAAGCCCGAGGCGCAACGACTCCTCAGTCGGTCACAAGACCCTGGTGCCGCCTCAGGAAAGGCCTAAGGTGTCACGATTCCTCAGTCGATCACAAGGCTCTGGTGCCGCCTCAGGATAGGCCCAAGGCACAACGACTCATTAGTCAGCATAAAGTCCTCGGCTCCTAATCTGGGTAAGCCCGAGGCGCAACGACTCCTTAGTAGGTCATATGACCCTGGCGCCGTCTCAGGACAGGCCTAAGTGCCACAACTCCTCAGTCGATCACAAGGCCCTGGTGCCACATCAGGACAGCCTAAGGCACAACGACTCCTTAGTCGGCATAAAGTCCTCGGCTCCTAATATGGGTAAGCCTGAGGCGCAATGC